GTGTCCATTGAAGATGTTTCTGGCAATGTAGATTTGTTAGAAAATGCTTACATAAATAGGATCATTGGAGTATATATTATGACATATTCCTTCCTACTCCTTGATTAAAGCTATCAGCAATTTTTGCCACAATAGCCATTATCTTGACTCATGCTTGGTTGATAGTAAAGCCACCATTCATTTCTCCACTGATAAAACCTGGCCATCCTATGCTTTCTCAACAATTGGTAATTTTACTCCCCTTGGACAAGTGCTTATTGGTACTCACCACAAATGAATGAGAGAAAATCACAAACCATGCAATTTTAGAAATATTCTGGCTTAGTATTTTGGCTATAACAATTTGGCCTTTATCAAAAGCACTAAAATCTTTCTTCTTGCCCATAACTGCAGCATTCAATACATCAAAATGAAATACTTAGGGGCCAACTCATGTCATGCATAGTTGTTACAAGACAGTAGCTGTCATTCTTGTTACATGTCAATATTTTGGCTTATTAGTGTATGGGTGAATACTGACAAGCTACACAGTTGATTAACTCTAAATCTATAATAAACCTATATAAACACAAGTCAACATCTGTAACCTAAAATATAATAAAACACTGTTGAAACCAAAATATTTTAGTTCAATAATCAGCATAGCCAATATTAACAAAAAGAAAAATGTTCATTTGAATATAGACATCATGTAAAATTTTTTAAGTAAACGACAGGTCAACTAACTGTAAAAACAAAAACACTTTAACAACATACAAAAGGAAAAGATTGCCTATATTACACACACACACACACATATATATATATATATATATATATATATATATATATATACACACACACACACACACACAAACATTAATATAAGTGAAAAAAAATTGATGCAAACCTTATGTGATTTAATTCAATCCATTTATGGAATACGCACCTATATAAACCACTTCATTATCTACTGACATGACCCATTGTCAGAATCTTATTAGACAAGATGTTTTAATCAATGTATGCAGTTTTCTTTTGACTACTTTAATCTTTGTCACTTGTTTTTCACACTTCAGCTGTATAATTTTTAGATTCCCTTGAGGGTATTTGTCATATTCCAGAATATTTTTTTTTAGTGACACATGTTCATCTCCTGTCATACATGAATGACTCACCTTATGTATGTGTGTCAATATACATGAAAACAGGCTTCATTTTGCAATAGGAAAAAATTATTTTAACACACATTATTGATGAATAATTTTAAGTCTCAGTACCTAAAACTGTGTGCTCTGTGAAATGCCTTACATTTCCATTATATCAGCAACAATTATATCAATGCCTTACATTTCCATTATGTCAACAACAATTATGAGGAACCAGTACCCAGCAGAGAAAAAAATGATACTGGTGTTTTCTTTATATTCCTTTAAATCTCATTATTTCTAAGGAAAAAATGTTAAAATTTTAGTTTATAATACTTTAATTTATCTATTTGAATGCAATCTTCCATTTTCCAAACCATTGCTTCATTCACACTATATGTTCCCAATTCCAAAGATTATCATGGCTAATCTTTCATCTGACAATCTAGAAATGCCATCCAAAATATATCTTTATCAATGCACAACATGTAGAAGCAGATGGACAGAGAAAGACCATTTCCTTTAAGACCATTTGGCTTGGCTTCATGAACAAAGATTAGGGAAAGGATTTCATTAATGATGGTCAGACCTACATGATTGTTTGTTTTTTTTTGTTTAGTGGCATATCAACATCAATAGGTTTTTAATGCCAAAATCTAAATATTTTGTATACAATTTTATTATATCTTTTTATTTTTAGATGATAATGGTTTTAGTGATACAAGTTTTTACTAATGATCCCATAGCTGAGGAGAGAAGACGTGGATTCATGCCATTCCCAAGTGAATATATCAAAACCAATGGCAGAAGTTATTTTCAGATGGACTATGAATACCAAAGATTAAGTCAGGATATTTCTTTTTTTCAGTAAGCTTCCATTTTAGGTTTTCATTACTTTAACAATTATAATACTGATCCCACATAGTTTCCTATGTAAATTCTATTTATTCTTGATATACTGTCTCAAATGCATTATATGTCTATATAATTGTAATATATTGTTCATATACATGGACACAGCTTGAAAATGTTGCACTTATTTTCAGTTATGATTCACAATGAGTTAGAAATCAGAATTAACACATACAATAGATTTAAAATAAAAAAAAACTATTGGCAGCATTATTAAAAGCTGGACAAAATAAATCTGATTAAAAAATTAAATGAAAAATTAGCTTTTGAAATATAATCAATTTTCACACAATGTTCTAAATTCAATCTGAAACCATTGCAACAAACTGTCAAAAAAGAGGACCTCACAAGAGAGATTTTGTAAAAAGAATTGATGCCAGATAAAGCATCATTTGAACATGGATATTATAGGTTTTACAAACATTAATGGAATGAAAAAAAGTTCTATGAAAATCTTGTGTAGTAAAATATAGCTGATATATGAAACCAAAAAAAAAAAAAAACTTTTCTAAGCTTCATATAGTGGCTTTAGTTTCAGGAGAAAGAATAATGATATGCTACCCCTATACACTAAATATATTGTTATGTGCCACCCTCTTCTACTGTTATGGTAGCAGTGGGAGGCATGGTAACATAATATGAAAATGTAAATTTCTTTTCCATAATGGTCCTTTCCTGACTGATCAAATTGAGTTGAATGAAATTCATTAATGAACAAACACATTAGGTGACAAACAACAAGAGGTAAAGGTATAGGGATAACAAGTAAATATTTTATTATTAAAATATACAAATGGGGAGAAGATAAAAGATGGGACAAAACAAAACAATAAATCAAAAATAAATATTATAAGACAGAATAATGGGGAGGGGAAACTTATCCTCTCAGAAAAGTAAATAAAATATTAATCTTGTGCCAAACTTGCATGAAATTACAAATGATGAAAAAGTAAAATGAGCAAAGAAAACAGGCAATAGAAACAATGAACTTATCTGGTATTTGTAAAAGCTTTTCTTTTACTTTTTATTTTCTCTTAATGTCTCTTATATGTGTTTCTTCTTTTTTTTATATTTCTTTTTCTCTTTCTATCTGTTCTCTTCTCCTTGATGGGCAGAAAGTTTATCTGTGAAATTAATTTCTTTGGTTTCCTTTCTCTGTTTCTCTTTTCATCTCATCTAGGGGTCGAGTGACAAATACGTTGAGTCTGTCTTTTCAATGGCTCTCAGGATAATATATATCTTTCTTTTGTTTCAATGTATCTGCTTTTTCTAGCACAACAGAGTTTGATTCCTTGAATCAAAAATTTGCTAAACCTTATTAGATTTCTATATTTTTGCATGCTCAAATTTATAGCCGATTATAGCAATTATACCTAACCATCTTTTCAGTTTGGATTCTGAAGAGGGACAGATTTTGTGACGGTCCTGATTTTCGTGCCTTGATTTTGTCACATGACACATGACTTCCAAATATGAATTTTTATATGTGTGGGAGAAAAGATGTCACTGACCCTTTTCCTTTTTCTGCCATATTTCAGAGGTTTCAAGGTTGTTTCAATGCCTGGATTATATCTGGTCAAATCATATTGTTATTACATAATCAAGAAAGAGAAAGTGTACAATCTTTGCTCAGATGCATGCAAGTTTAATCCAGAACTATTAATTGTCAATTTCACTTTATTTTTATTTATTTATTTATTTTTTTTTTTTCACACTTTCCGAGAGTACTGGCTTTTCATTTAGAATACTTCTAAAATATAATCCTTAACATTGATTTTATAATAAATTTAGATGAGGGTACATAACTATATATATATATATATATATAATAAATTTGAGTATGTAATCACAACAATGTTATAAGTAATTGACATTTGGAAAAATGTTCATGTCATATTTTCATGACATATTTTTCAATATTTTCAAATTGCGTCATGATATGATTTATTTTAATCAATTTCACCCCATTCAAGTGAGTAATGCCACTAAGACACAAGGGTGGGTTACTGGGTTTGAAAGAATTAGAAACAGAAACATTTACTAGTGAGCAGGAACAAAAACTGTAATCAGGAGAACAGTAGATAGCGATTGTCATTGCATTTAAATTTTTGAAGATTAAGTTGGCTGGGAAGCATAGAGCCAGAAGGGAGCTCCACAAGCAAAAAATGCAAGAAAAACTTAGCACAGAATTTACGGTTACACCTCAAAACTCAATTGTAAATTGACAAGATCTCAACACCAGCCTAGTACTGTGCTTAAATTCAAAAAGTCTAGGTACCATAGCAAAGAGCTCATCCAAACAATTATTATGAATGTATTTATAGAAGAGACACAGGAAAGCAATCATACTGTGGTGCGAAAGTGACTGAAGCTGAGCTACTAGGTTGTACTTAGGAAAGACCATTGGTGTGATTTCCTTTTGAATGCTCAACAGTTTTGATCTCAGAATTGTACTTTTCTTTGACTACTTTTGCCAACCAAGGCTAGAGAACTCAATATACCCTAATATTTAACACGTATAATAAATAGACCACCTAAATAATAGAAAATGACTAGAGCTGAACGAGAAAATAAATATCAGTTGAGAAAATGAGTTAGGCAGGAGGACAAACTTGTATAGATATGCTGATTGTTATATAAAGAGAAAATAAATTAGTATATTAAGTATGCCAACACCTTCAAGAAATAATGATTCACCAAGTACCAGAGGTATGTATCATTATTTACCTAAATACCTATTGACATTATTTGGATATTATGATATGGAGCAAACAAAATACTAAAAGAAAATTGTAGATAATAATTTCTCATTCTTTATCCAAGTAAGTAAACATTGCCTCTACTTCTGAAATGAATAAAACAAATTTCAATTGGAAAAAGGAAAGAAAAAAAAACTAACATTACCAAAATACATCAAACAAGTATTGATGAAAAGTAGGGAGGTAAATTAAATATACTAACCATACGTATCAAAGTTTGGTGATACAGTACTGTCTGCAATGGTGAAAATTGCCAGACCCAAACACATAGATAAACAAGCTGTCACATCCAACAAACCATAGCGCTTTCCTGAAATAAGATGGAAATATGAATTATCAATGAATATCAACTTTTATAGCAAGAAGGAAGAAAAATACAATCTCTACATAAATAAACTTAATTCAATATGAAACAAACTGAAGACCGGATGTAAAAAAAAATCCATGAGTAAATTCAGGTTCATATACAAGTGGGTAATTTTATTTTATTGCTACTAATTATTGTAGTGTGTGTGTGTGTGTGTGTGTGTGTGTGTGTGTGTGTGTGTGTGTGTGTGTGTATAAATTCTCAGAATGTATCTGTAGAAAGACAAAATGATTAAATAGACAAAATAGACAGGAGGACAAACAAACTTTGTCTCTACCAACGTGGTTCATCAATCTGACTTTATTAAGGCCAGTGATAATATTTTGTTTTGTACAAGGTATCTAATATAAACAAAAGTGAAATGTTGTTAGTTACTCAAAATTCAAAAGTTTTATAAAGATTCTCATAAATATTCATCAGGTTAAATTATGTCAATAGTCTTAGTATCCTCGAAAAGTTAAAATGTAAAAAACAAAAAAAGATACATATTAATAGATACCATCCATAAGGAAGATTTTCCTCATCAAGATAATTTCAATTCTTTTTTTTTTCTTTGGCAAAGACTAAGTTGTTTTTACTATTGTCTATTTTATATATATATTATATATATATATATATATATATATATATATATATATATATATATATATATCAACATATATTGTAGGTCTATTTTTACTAGTTTGTACATCAACAAGAATTCTTTTCTTTTGCCCTGAAGTTCCATAAAGTTAATTTAATCTCTACCTTGATCCACTATGCTTTGATGATATGTTCACAGTTTAAGTTGTAGGGGGGAATTGGTCAACATTTACAATATTTTCTGGGATAACAGCTACCCGGAGAATATTGTTAAACACACAGTGGAACATAAGGTTAAGAGTTTTAAGGGTCCCGTGGTTTTTGGACCTTGTCTTTGTCCAATTTATTTAAAATTATCATGGTTGGGTAGAAGTAGTCAGAAACTTGCCAATAGGGTGTCAGCATGTATGACTTCTAGCTTTTCTGCTGCTAAGTTGTGTGTTTATTGCATGTCTATTCCAGTGTTCTCTTTTGCTAAGGATGGTTTGCCCTACCTGCAAAGAAGTTCTGTCAAATAACAATTTAAATGTCAATGTGAGGCTGACTATGTGGAGCCAACCAACTTGCAGTTGGAAAACCAGATTGGACAGCAAGTACCTATTCATATTAGACAAAGTAGAGTCAGCATCAGTATTCACTTAACTCAGTCAGTTTATGAGTCAGTGATTGGACTACATTTGGTGAACAACTCAGGTTGTGCTTTGAAATATTCTGATGCACTCCATCATTTTTTAAATTATATATATATATATATATATATATATATATATACACATATAACAAAATAATATGTATATATACATATAACAAAATAAAACAAAAATAAATAAAATACCAACAACCACTTTTTAGTTCAAGCTACCACCACTATAACTACATTCATGGTTTTATCATTCTCCCACCACCGTTACTAATCATTTCTACCAATTTACAATTTCTTCCAATTTACAATAACTATTAGCTAAATATCATTGTCTCCAATCCCTTGAAACATTACTATCACATCATATCATATAGACCCGTTATTAAATTGAACCACCCTCTCAACCATCACCATATAAATTAAACAATAAGGATTACAAATTTCTACCTGTTACATATACACAGTCACCAAAAACAAACAAATAACCAGCTTTAAATATAACAAATAAACCCCCATTTTTTACAAAAATTTAAAAATAAATATAAATAATAATAATTTTTACCTATCATAATTTTACACAAACCCCACCACACGCATATACATACATGTGAGGAAATATTTTTCAGCGGTAATGAAAAAAAATATATACATAATATGACTTATATACAGTCACGAGACACTAACGTGACATTTCCGCCACACTTCCAATGTTTAAATTTCAACATTTCAACATACAAATGCATATGTATAGACATAACACCGATTTATACATACATGTGTCATAGCCAAAACTGCCCACATACGTTTATATATGTATGAGTCCCGACGGATGACACGACCAAGTATGTATATGTGTCTGCATATATCGATGTTTTGCGTTAGTACGATGAATGACAAAACGACAAAATTTCCCCCACCACTTCCACAATAACACCAATACACACAATCTACATAAACCCAAATTTTTTAAAACATTAATCAGTTTGTCTGACGATCGCTAAAGCGTGAAACCCAGGGTCACAAACTCACATCTATCCAACCAAATAAATAAATATATATATATATATATATATATATATATATATATATATATATATATATATACACACACATACTCACAGTAGGCAAATTAAAATTAAAATATTATAAACTTTATCTAAAAAGACATTCGTTTTTTGTTGGGTGTTTCTTCCAGCTGATGTCCAATGCAACTCATAACATCCTTGTGTATGTTCGTCAAGTGATGTCCATGTTGTTGAGCCGTGAAGCAAGACAGATTCTACCATGGCCTTAAAGAAATCCCTCTTAAGATTGTCAGAGAAGGAGGACTTCCAGATGGTGGTCAGACTATCTCGGACACCTCAGGCCTTGACCTTGTGGATTTTGATGTCTCTCCATTGACTGGATGTTACTGCTGAGGTAAACAACTTCCTGGACAGACTTGATGTTTTTGCCATTTTTCAACTTAATTTCTCCTTCTTGGTTGTAGCTGATTAATCATGTTTAATGCTAAACAAAATTTATGTAGAAACAGCATTTTCCAGCATTAATGTAGAGACCAATCTCACTGGCCACTTCTTCGATGAGATGAAGTTTGGTAGCCTTATCAATTGTTGGTTGGTTGATTGGTTGTTTGGGGTTTTATGGCATATCAACCACTATGGATTATTTAATGCCAAATCCAGTTTGCACATATATGTTAAATATATATACTTTGTAAACATAATTTAAGGATAACGTCCTTTATTTTTTCAAAAATGTATAGCCGGCAACATTATTTCTTCAAAAACGTATAGCCGGCAACATTATTTTTCCGAAAACATTATCTGAGCCCTTGCTGTTGGACGTAGTTTATCGTCATACCCAGGACGCCTTATCAATTGTGTCTGACAACAAGGCAAGGTCCTCTGCATAATCTACATCCGTTATTGTTTTTGCTGGGTAACAGGAACTTCTTGTTTTTTCAAGGGTGAACCCCAAATCTGTGTTTAGATTCAAAACAGAATTACCAATGAAGAAGACTGAAGAAGGATCCAAAATGACCTGGATAAATCCTTCAGACATGAATTCGACATAATCAAGGCTTGCCAAGTACAAAAATTAAATAGATTGAAAGATCAGAAGGTGATGCACAAGGTTCATCACCCACCAAGGAAAGCAGTAATCAACATCAGTCAATATCAGCTAAGTGCCACTGAGGAGTAAATATTAAATAAGGGTCTCAACTTTGCCACAACCATCAGGTGAGTGCATAACTTGAACATCATTGCCAGAATCACGGAAGTGGCCTTGAACTTCCCACAAACTCAGGTGGATGAACTGAGATAGAAGGTGAGACAGACCTTGGAGAAATCCAAGCCGCCCAAGTTAAACATCACAAAACTGGAGAGGCTGGCAATCAGATCCCTGTAGAGGAACAAAAACACCACAATACTACCAGCTCTCAAAGGCAATGCAACTGTAGTGATGGACAAATCAGATTATACAGGAAATCTGGAAGACCTCATTAAAAATGGTAGCTACAGCAAAGTAAAAAAGGATCCGACATAGAAAACGGAACACAAACTGTCACAGATACTAATCAAGAACAAGGATCACTTTGCATCTAAGAAGTATAGGCAGTTGTCACAGCGTTACACCATCTACCTCACATATATGGTCTCCCTAAGATTCACAAAGATGGTATTCTGCTCAGGCCGATTGTTAGTTGCCAAGGCTCTGTGTGCCACCCTCTGAGTCACTTCTTTGTAGATATAATTGACCCATTGATCAGAAAGTCACCCTCATATGTCCGAAACTCCACCCACTTCATGGAAATAATCAAAGATGCTCCCATCCTATCCAACCATTTGGTGAGCTTGGACATGGTGAGTTTCTTCACCAAGGTACCCATAGAGGAGGTACTTTCAGTAGTCAGAGACAGATTGGCCTCTGACTCATCCCTAGGAGAACGGACCAGTATTCCAATAGATAATCTGATGGAAATGTTGACTTCCTGTACACAAACAACACACTTTGGAATGGGATCACACATATATCGACGGGATAAGGGCTTAGCAATGGGCTCACCATTATCACCAGCAATGGCAAATATATACATGGAATACTTTGAGGAAATGACATTAGAATCTATATCTCAAAGGCCAACTCTATGGTTAAGATACATAAATGACACCTTCATACTCTGGTCACACCAGGAAGATGTCCAGGTTCTACTGAACCATGTGAACTCAATAAGACCTTCGATACTGTTCATGATGAAGAAAGAGAGTAACAACACACTCCCATTCCTGGATGTTCTAATATCTCAAACATCTGTATACCACAAACCAGCATTCACCGGACAGTACCTCAATTTCAACTCCCCCCATCCATACAGTGTAAAGAAATGGATTGTCCACTGCTTGCAACACAAAGCAAAAGTCATAAGTGGTAACCCAGAGATATTAGACAAAGAATTGGTCAGTATACACAATAACCTACAACATAACAACTACCCTGGGTACATGGCAGCAGCCCCAATAAACTGGGATAGGTGGGTACAAGAGGAGGACAACAACACTCAGAAAACAGTCTGCCTGCCTTAAGTGAAGTGGTTATCAGAGAAAATACAAAGGATCTGCGGTCCATATAACATCAGAACAACCTTCAAAAGCTGGACGATACTTCGCAGATACTGCTCCCGAGTAAGACCTACCCATAGTGGAGAACATGACTAAAGACTGTGTGTACACCATCCCATGCAGCTTCAGAAAGAAATATAAAGGAGAGACAGGCCAGCCCCTTAAGGTAAGGCTTCAAGAACACCAAAAAACTGTAACACGAAGGGAAGTGGAAAAATCAGGCATGGCTGACCACATATGGAGAGAAAAGAGATCACTGCCCTCTGTGGAATCAGGTTGAAATCATAGACAAAGAACATCATTGCAAAATTCGTAAACTTAAGGAACTAGCATGTATGCTAGGCTACAAAAATCTGAGCCGACCAAGCATAGAAATGAATACAATATGGGAACCAGTAATAAGGAGTCCCAGAGAAAAGCAATAATAACAACAAAAATTGCAATATGAGCTCTGGTAAAAAATGATGCTGAAGACATTAAGTTTATAAGTCCCAGAAATTCATACACAGATGTCCTTAAGGACACATGGCACAGTGGATAAAGGTGTTGGTTAAATCCAGTGACAGGACTCAAAGAGTTCAATACCTGGTTAGGTATTGGAGAGGTGAATTAATAGGAGATAAGTGACATCCAGTAGACATGACACTAGAACAGTCTACCCCAGCGAGCAAAATAAAGGGTTCAGTTTGACATTCCAACCACCTGTACAACAGCTGAAACGTTATGATAAATATGGCAACGAAGATGAGGACAATAGTCCAAATAATGTAAATAGTGTACATAATACCTCATCTCAGAAATATAGACAAAAACAATCTTTCCTTTAAAATAGGACATCGCTTTGTTTGAAAAGAAAAACATGTCTGTTCACTCAGATATCAGTGTTTATTTATCTAGTCACCCAAAACTATGTGAAAATTAAGATTTTTTTTTTTTGTATACAATTTTTATATTGTAGAAACTGGGAAAGAAACAATCTTTAAATTCAAAATATTTAACTTTTAAACAGTCAGTTAAGTGTAAGTGCCATTTATAATATACACTTGTGATCAAGTCTCTTACAATTCATGACCAATTAGACAGAAGATTTTCTCGCAGTAGGTTGCGATTTATCTTACACTAAATATAAGCCAGATGAATTTCTTGATTCAGTTTCAGTAAAAGAAAAAAAAAATGAGCCATAAAATTAATGCAATTAATCTAGCTAGAATTTTTATTAACTTTAACCAATTTATGTAAAAGATATAAACAGGATGAATTCACACCGAATTTCTTTTTGTTACAGAATTCAAATAAACAAATATAATTACTTTGTAACAGCTGGATTTTTCCTTCTAACTAAATCCTGGACTAATATCAGTGTGCAAATCACAATAAATCAGTCACTACTGGTATTGAAATCTTTTGGATTCAAGCAGTTTCTACCATTTTTAACAGGCAGTTATTATTACATTTGAAAACCAAATTGTCTGATAAAATATCTAGCTGAAGTTTCCATTGTTGCCTGAAACAAAAGATCTAAAATGTCACATGTCAAAGTGAATATATAAACAGTTATATTAGATTTGAATGAGAATGGCGATAATTTATTTTAATCTTTTAAACAAAAAGTGGTATCAGAGTTCTGAATTATTTTCTTTTAAATGAGAACAAGCTAATAGCAAAGATATAAAAGTGTATGTTGCCATGTATATAAATAAGTAATGTTAAGAATGACAACTTCTAAATGTAAATGACATTAGCTTAGACAAAACAATTATAACATGCAAATGCATCTACACACACAGACAGTAAACCAGCTTTCTATACAGATATGTCATATAGAAAGAGAGAGAATTTGACATGCAGTGATCTTTTATTTTTTTCATTTATATTGTCATCAGCAAAATATACAACCATAATAATCTTATTCTAATCCACCCAATAATTAAATTATTAAAAATAATAATATAAAAATGGTTACCATTTACAGTCAAGCAATACTTTAATTTTATAATGAGGAGGTGCTGTCAGATGAATTCACAATATTCTTTGGTACCTTCTAATTATCAACCTTGTAATTATCAATAGTTTCATAATAAAACTGTATTGGTAATGACATGATTGATAATGTACAATTTATTTCATATAGTTTAATTTTAACTTCATACTCGGACATTTGGTCGATGGACATTTGGCCAACAAAGATTTAACTGAATGGACATTTAACCAAAAATGTAGTGGTTTACTTACATGTATGTCACACTCTTTATTATAATGTGCTAAATATATTTATATACTATATTAATTTATAATTTTTCAGTTTTTTCGACAGGCTTTTTTAAAATCTATTCTGTATATATTTTACTTCAAATATTACTATAAGACAATAAGTATTTTGAGAAAAAGCACACTTTACTAAAACAAAAATCTTTTACAATATGAAAGATCTTTCAATTTTGCTTTTAACAATCATTATCTTAAAAGAATGAACTAGCTTTTATCTTACTGTTAAATACAAATTTAAATAATTAGGTGCTACTTTTTACCTGTATACAGTCAAATATTTTTTAAAATACTAATTTCAATAAATAAATATTGAAATAAGAAAAATTAACTTTAAATTTAAATTTAGTAATTTAATCACTTAAAATTCAGTGATAATTATTAGTCCTATTCTACCTTATAAAACTGCTAATTAAAATACTTAAATTATTGCTTGTTACTATTTTTACATGTACTTTTTTGGTGAAATGTCCTTGGCCAAATGTCTAGCCATTTCAATTTCATGATGCAACTGATTTTCTTTATACCAAATATATTGGAATACTTTTGTTATCCTAAATTATTTTAAAATAATGTTAAACAATAGAATATTTTATTTTTTAGAAAATATCTTTATAAGGGGCTGCTGAAAAGATCTCAGTCTGATCCCCTTCTCAAAATCTAACCAAATGACCAAACATTATAATTTCTTTTGGAATCCCTTTTTGGTCAAGCAAAGAAATTTTCAGCACATTCTCATGCAAGTATAAAGTTTTCTGCATCTCAAACCAAGCAGTAAATCAAAAACTTTCAGCTCAAAATTCTTGAACGTTTATGGGATACAAGTTATATACCAATAAATATATAGAAAAGACAAAAAAAAAATACAGTATTTAACCCTGCAAAATTTACCTGCTGATTCTATTAAAAGTTTTGAATTATATTTAATATACACAGTATTTTTCAATCTAGGTTTTAGATAAGAATTTTATGACTGTAGCAAAAAGAAATTTACCTTGAATTAAAATCCCACCAATCATCACTGGAATGAGTTTACATGATTTAAATATTTGTTGTGTAGGAAAATTCAAGTAACCCATTGAAGAATTGGACAGCCCAATTGTGGCCACAGACAGGAATGCAAGAATGGCATAAGTGCTAAGTGGTGCCCTACAAAAGAAAAATAGTTTTATCATGGCAAGAATAATTAAATAGATATTTTACTCAAATATTAGGTTAATTTTAATCATGAACAAAATCATAATAATAGACAATATTCATAAAGTATGTTGATCAATATCTCAATCTCTAAGAAAAAAAATATTTGAATTGTTTTTTATTGAGCATCAAGATTTCTTTTGACATGTATTCAAACAAAAACAAAAGAAATCTGTTTATTTTCATGAAAAAAATACACACGTCTAAGATAGAAATGCTTTGCTATATAACATCCATAGCAAGGTAGTAGTCATTATACTGTCACAAGAACTGCTACCAAATACCTTACAATGAGGATATGGTTAAAGATCCTTCAAGATAGAACAAAAGTAACTTCACTATTTAAAAAAGATAATGCCCTCTACACATAGCTGTACGTTATTTTTTTTTATTTGGTATCACCCCATGCAGGGCAGTAAAGCCACTAAGACACAAGGAGTTACAGGGTGTTGAAGAATTAGGAACAGAAACATTAATAATAGGTGAGAAGAGGAAAGAGTAATCAAGAGGACAGTAGATAACAATTGACATTGCATTTAAATTTTTGCAGATTAAAGTTGACTGGAAGGCATGGAACCAGAAGGGAGTTCTACAAGCAAGAAGTGCAAGAAAAGAAACTGTTAGCATAGAACTTACAGCTAAATCTAGCCAACTCTACTGTAAATTGATGAGATCTCAATGCCAGTCTAGTACTGCGCTTAATTCAAAAAACCTAGGTACCATATCGAAGACTTCATCTGAACAATTACCATGAATGTATTTATAGAAAACACACAGAAAGGCAACCTTATGATGGTGGGAAAGTGACTGAAGTTGAGCCACCAGATTAGGACCAATAATATTGCTGATTCTTCTTTAGATTTTATCAAGGAGCTCAAGGAAAATAGCAGAAGCACCAGACCCATATGTGGCAGCAATATTCTAAGCATGGTTGAATGGTAGATTTATAGATATGCAGGATAGATGTAGGAGAGGAAATTGTCTCACACAACATAATGAACCATTTTTCTTTGCAGAAATTTTTTTAAAATTAATTTTTGAAAAGGTTCTTTATAATTATCATCACTTGTCTTTGCAAACAAAGATTTAAATGCGCAGTAGTTTCATTTGCTGATAAACATTTCTTTTAAGTTAAAATATCCATCATATACAATGTATCTAACATGCAATTGATATTTTGACTCTTGAACAGAAAGTATCAATCACTTCTAATTAATTTCCATTCACTCCCAAATCTTTCAGTAAATGAAGATATATGAAGTATTAATATTTATCAAATTAATTTACACTTATAAGCTTGTGGATTAGTGGAGAATGGCATGTCTAAATTAGAAGAATTATAGATAAGCTATTTAACAATAACACATTTTAATACACTTTAATATACTAATAATATCTCCGATTAACAATTCAGTCAATATCCTTTACATCACCCACACATCCAAGTTTACAGCACCTGGTATTCCCAACCATTCAGCCATCTAAGTAATAACAAGGCTCAACATTGTTTAACTTTGGTGATCATATACAAACCGATGTTTCAATGTGATATGGCCATAAACATTTGATAAGTAACATGAACTTTCAATATTTTTGATGCAATAATTATTGCTCTAGATAAATGTAAAGCACTTTGAAGGTAGAAATTTCATTCACATTTGTATACGTTGAATTATATAATTTTTTTTTATATATCAATATATATATATATATATATATATATATATATATATAAAAAATCAGTGGTGATTCCAGTTGTCAGGCTTTTGGGGCTTATACTTAAACAGTAACACACTCAGACTATCTACTTCAAAGCAACAAAAGTCATTCATAGTGCATCACTTTCATTCTTGACTTCAGCTGGATCCAAGATTAATTGTTATAACTCCATGCTTCAAAATATTGACTAAAATACATTTTGTCATTATTGTTCATAATAAAGAAAGAAAGAAAGAAAAAAAAGAAAGAAAGAATGTAAAAAAAGAATGAAATAAAATTAACATTTGGCTACGTAGATCTGAGATGGAATCATTTAATGTATTTCTTGCTTTAATTTTATAAATAATCATTTAAAAATTTCTAATAACTTGTATGCCTTGTTTTTCAAAGAGCACATTTTTATTTCAACTTATTCTTTTCAAATGTCCATTTTAAATAATTTATTCCATACATTATAAGGTTTTTTTTAGCACAATGTATCAATTGAAAAAGGGCAAATTCAGTTTAGCCCAACCTAAAGTCAGTGAAAATCAAAAAAAGCCTTAACTCGTCGAGTGGAGGGTTGGGATGAGAAGTGGGACTGGGATATTGTTCAGGAAATATGATATCAGTCAGTAGTACTGCTCAAAAATATAAAATTCACAGAGATAGATATACATAAACATACTAACGCATACACATATATACACACACACACAATCAAGATAGATACACACGCTATTCCCCCCACAAAAAAAAACATATCTAGCTAGAGATTTTTTTAAATTACATAATCATTTTAGCATCTAAGTTATACCAATAGTATATTTTGTTTAAGATTGTAAAGAGCCCGACAAACATTGATGATCCAGAGTCACCACAGTTTTATATATATATATATATATATATATATATATATAAACAAAACAAAGAAAAAAAATGTCAAAGTACATTTTCTACAAATTTTTGTAAAAAACATTTGGTTTGGTTATTTTGTTAAACATCTTGGTATTAGATTTTTAGTTCCTTATCTTCCTACAAAAATAGAATTAGAAAATTTATCTCCTTATGTTTCTCCATGTGACATTCTAAATAATAGTAAACCATTTCCTTATAAGGAAACATTCAGCATTCATTAACTGAACAAATTTTACTACTGTCAGTTGAAATTTATAAAATCTCTCTCTTAAAACAAGTTTTCAGGAAAATAGGTTTTTAAAGTCCAGTAACTGTTATTGCTCTTGCTAGTTCTGCTAGGGGGTTCCTTCCTAAACTTTTATTTGAAGTAGTGTGGTAATTCAACATTTGGATCATGCCATTATTTTCTCTTTGAGGTACATGTGATATCCATTTTAGTTGTTGCTGCTGTTGAAAGTCCTCAAGTGATATAAATTCTTTTATTTGGTACAGTTCTTGGTTTGTGATTCTGTAGTGCCAATCCACAAGTCCCAAAGAAGTGTGACCTTCCATCAAGTCTCACAGGGTTCATGCACTCAAAGTCATGCAATAAAATTTTCCATTGACTTTATTTTGTAAAGACATTTAATTCTTTTTTTTCACTTTTTTCTTTTCTTGAAACTATTATCTTTAAAAAGATAAAAGAATTTAAAATAAGTGAAATTAAAATATCATAAAAATGATACTAAGACAGACAAGGAATTTAAAATATAAATTTTTGTACATTAAAAAGGAATTTAAATCAAATAAAAAATTTACCTATGCATGTCTCAAAACTGAATTAAATTGAAACATTTTAGGGTTTGTTTGGGTTTTTTTTTGTCATTATTTGTTTTAAGAAACCTAAAAGAAGCAGACTGATCAATTGGTGCTTTCCTCAGATCTGAATAAATCCTGAATGGAAAAAAGCATTTAGAAATTTTCCAGGTTTGTTTCTGATTTTTTATTATTTTGTTGAAGCAAAAAATGTTAGGCACATGAATTGTTGACAATAACATTTCCAAATGCTGCCATTTAAATGATATCACTTTAGAAATTTAAAAGCTTTTTCTTAGAATAGGAAAACTAGAAAAAAGGTCACTGGGGAGGGAGGGAGGCATTTTCTGAATACATTACACTAGCACTTGTTAACAGAAAAATGATCTATAACACATTTACAAAAGTTATATAAATATACACACAAAGTTGCACAATATAAACAAACATGCAGGATACTGATTTATATATATATATATATATATATATATATATATATATATATATATATAAGCACACATAGCTATAAGGATGTATCTATACAGGTGGTCAATAAAAATACATAATAATTCCTTTGTATTTAACTGGTATGAACAGTATTTACATGCAGATTTTATTTTCATTTTTACTTTTAATCCATCATCAAAAATAATTTTATTTTCTTCTCACTCCTGTATGAATCAAACACTTTTATAATTATTTTTCATTTAAATATACTTTGGGGATTGTTATGGCATTTTAAACTGTATATTTTACATTTACAATAATATGACAAACAGGTTTGTAATATGTGCACAATTTTTGCACAAATTATTTGTCTGAGGCATTTAACGACTGCCAATCTTTAAATACAAAATGTATTGCAGGTGGCATAAGAAAGATGGAAGTAAATGGTTAATGGATCTCAATAATAAAGAGCAGCCATTTTGATATGGAGGCTAAACTTTCTTAACAAATAAAGTTAAAATCATATAAACTTTCTTACCAAATGGGGTTAAAATCATTAAAAAAAAAAAATAAAAAAAAAAAATACTTGAAAATTTAAGTAAAAATATTTTTGTTATTTTCCTGTACAGTTAAAATTAAAAATAATTAAAATTCAACTTTTTCTTTTGCTAAAACTTTATATATGGAAGTAAAGTTATATTTTCCTCTGTAACAGCTCCTTTTTAAGAAAATAAAGGAAATAGCCAATCCAGAGGTTTCTTTCATAGCATTGTTGTAACCAGCATATAACAAGTTCTCTGATTGGCCAATAGATGAGCCAATGACAGTCCTGCCTCATTTCCACTTTGGCAGAAAAATTAAAAACTATCTCTCTGTTGACAACTGACCCTGGAGCAGTAAATATGTACCAAGCTACTTTCTGATCAACAATGCAGAAAGGTCATGTATGCAACATTTGAATAGATATCTCTAATTATAAATATTTTATAAATTAACTGATTTAAAATATGGTTTCTTTGCTACACAGTAATAACCATGTTTCAAAAACTGAAGCTAAAAATTTCAAATTTAATTATATAATTAATTAAAAGCAT